ATTGTAAATTTTGGTCAATGACATGAGACAAAGTATATGTGAACTCCTGTATGAAAAGTGAATTTACTCTGTAAATCTTCACCCAAATCAAAATAAAATAAAAAAAAAAAAGAGTGAGTTGACCTCTCGGGGCCTGTTTCATGGAGCCTTGAATGGTGGTGGCTTAAGAGTTAGGTCTTTGCCTGATCTCATCTCTGTTCTTGTAGCCTTAATTCCTCATCTCTATTATTAAAGACCTTCAAGGCAAGGTTAAGAAGGTCCTTTTGAGGGGTTTGAGGGCCTGTGTCCTGCTTCTGCAGTTTACATCTTATGTCTAGAGCTGATTGGGAGATAAAATGCATGTTGAGAAGTAGAATTCCCTCTGGGGAGGCTGGACTAAGAGTTGTCTATTTCTGTAAAGTTTCCAGGAGACAGTGAGAAAGAGGGCTAGATTTTCCTCAGGGCCTTGGGTAATCTCTTTAAGTTTTTCATAGTTAACTGCCTTATGAGCTGTCTTTCTTAGGCCGGCAATGAGATGAGACCACGGTGTCGCCTGCCTGGGGAGCCTGTCTGATAGTTCCAATCTGGGTCAGTTTGAGGGATGGCTACAGGCCCTAAGGGGAGAGCTGTATCTTGTCTATGAAATTCATCTGCATGAGCCTGAGCTGCCTGCCAGACGTGTTCGTTTTCTTCTAGGGTTAGGGAAGAGGTTAAAATGACATAAATATCATGCCATGTGAGATCATAAGACTGTTTGATGTATTTAAATTCTTTGGTATAGGTAGTGGGGTCGTTGAAAAGGAGCCAAAGTGTTTCTTAACTTGGGATAGGTCAGACATGGAGAAGGGAACATGAACCCGGACAATGCCTTCAGGCCCAGCCACTTGTCCGAGTGGCAGAATGGGAGCTGGTGCTGGGTGGTTCGAGAATGAGTTTGTTGGCGGGGAGAAAGAAGGGTCTGGGTGCGGAGGAAGGGCGGGAGAGGCATATGGAGGGGGACTCGTCGAAGCCCGGGTGTGGGGGTGGGGTGTGGAGAAAGGTCAGCTGGGTCAAAAGGAGTCTCAGAGCCCAGCAGTTCTGAGCAAGAAAAGGCAGGGTTGGTGGAAGAGGGTTTGGAGTGAAGCAGGACGATTTGATAGGCGGAGCGGAACTGACAAGGAGAGGGTCTATTGCAGAGAGTAAAGAAGGCCTGGACCTAACCATTTTCCATTGAGTTGACAAAAATTGTTTAAGTCTCGGAGGACTTTTAAATCAAAGTGCCATTTTCAGGCCACAGAGAATCATGGTCTAATTTATATTTAGGCCAAGTAGTATTACAGAAAAAAAAATGAGACACTTGGGCAGGATCTCTGAAGAGAGGCCTAATTGAGAGAGATTCTTCAGAAGACAAAATGTTACCCGAGATAAATTGGCTGGTGGTGGATGCAGAGTCCGCAATGGGAGGCAGAGATCCTCTCTGGGTTCCCCTTGGCGGTTCCTGGATTTCGGCCATATATGTTAGGTGTTGAATACCGAGCAGAACAAGACCCGGGTAAATTGTTAGAAAAACAACTTTTATTGAAACATCCGTCCAGCGGATAAGCCGGGACAGAGACAAAGGATCCAAGTAGAAACTGGAGAGGGGGGTGGGGACAAAGAACTCCACCGGAAGTTGGGGGCGGGAGCACCTGAAGAGCGGGAAAGAACACAAAGGATCTAAGTGGAAATTAGGGGGTGGAGACTAGGAAGGTACTGGGAGAGAGAGAGACAGAAACTTATTAGATTCTGGTAGGCTGGGTAGAGGGTGAAGGATTTGTCTATCAAACAGCTATATGCACACACGTGTTCATCACAGCACTATTTACAATAGCAAGAAGATGGAAACAACCTAGGTGCCCAACAACAGAAGAACGGATAACCAAACTATGGTACATACACACAATGGAATACTATGCAACCCTAAAGAATAACATAGAATCTGCAAAACATCACATAACATGGATGAACTTGGAGGACATATGCTGAGTGAAAATCAGTCACAGAGTAACAAATTATTCCATTATTGTAAAAAGTCAAGGAAAAGTTTATATATGGAAGGAAACTTTCTTTGTTAGTTACCAGGGGTAGGAGGGGAGGGAACATTGCAAAAATAAAATAATAGTAATAATAATAAAATAAGCCATGGGGGGGGAGGAAACTGTCAGGTAGATCATCCTAAAATTAAAAAAGAAAAAAAAAAAAAAACTCGGAGAAAGATGAGGCAGTTGGCTTCTATAAAAGTTACAGCCTTGGAAACTCTATGGGGCACTTCTACTCTGTCCTGTAGGGTTGCCATGAATCAGAACTGACTCAATGGCAATACAGTGTGGTTTATTGACAACTGATAAATACTTTCTAGTAGCTCAAGACCTTTGCATTCGACTGCTCAACCTAAAAGCTGCTGGTTCAAATCCACCCAGCAATACCATGGAAGAATGGCCTGGCAATCTGCTTCAGTTAAGATTGAAGCAAAGGAAACTCTATGGAGCAATTAATTATACACTGTAACACATGGGGTTGCCATGTCTCAGAATTGACTTTACAGCAACAGGTTTTTATTCCTGGTAATGAGCATAAGATGGGCACTTACTAAGAGATGAGAAGGTAAGATTGTAAATATCAGCTCTATTCTTGACCTGTAACTAACCATTCTGGCATTTGTTTCTTTCATAATTCATCCAGACGCTTACCATTTATCCCATCACCACCCTGTGCACTGCTCCCACCATGTACCGGATGCTTGTGCAAAAAGACCTCAAGAGGTAATCAGAAATCTCTACTTGAACCACAATTAAAGCATCACAGATCTCCCCTTTTCAGCACAGTGATGGCCCAAGGTTTTTCAATCTCAGCACAATTGACATTTCCAAACACCAAACCAAACCCACTGCCATCAAATCAATTCGAACTCATAGAGACTCCCATAGGGTTTCCAAGGCTATAAATCTTCAGAAAAGTAGACTGCCTCATCTTCTTCCCACGGAGCAGCTGGTGAGTTTGAACCACCAACCTTATGGTTAGTAGCCAAAGGCCTTCCCCACTGCACCACCAGAGGTCCTACAATTGGCATTTGCTGTTGCTGCTAGGTGTTGTCGAGTAGGCTCCAAGTCATAGTGACCCTGCGTACAACAGACAATTGACATTTGGGGCCAGACAGTTCTGTGTTGGGGGGGCTGTCCTGCACATTGTAAGTTGTTTAGCAGCGTCCCCGACCTCTACCCACTAGACATCAGTAGCAACCCCCTCTACCAAATTGTGACAACTAAAAATGTCTCCAGGCATTGTCAAATGCCCCCTGGTGGGCAAAATTGCCTCAGTTAAGAACAATTGGGACAATATTTAGGGGCAACTGAACTTTTCCCCCAGAACAACCAAAGCCCAATAATCCCAAAACTCCTTCTTGGAACACTCTCGTAGCACCACTGGTAGGTGAGAACCAGCTCAAAAGAATTGGTAGTGTTTTTTAAAAAAAACTACATTTGTATTTCTTTGAAGACAGGCCAAATCACCTTCCTGTACAGTGGAGCTGTGATTACATTTATTAAGCTAATACACATGGAGTACTTGAGGAGAGAGGGTAAGGAAGAGGGGAACAATTTAAGGAATACCAGCTCTTCCACTCTCTGTTCCCACCAAGACCTGAACTCCCAGGAGGGAGAGTGCTTTGGGAGGGAGAAGACAGCAGATGTGGATCTTCTCTTTTCCTGGTCAGTGTCAGCTTCTTTGTGGCCCTCAGAACGTCAGCATCTTGCTCACATTTCAAGGATGATTTCAAATACATGCAATTTGTATCCTACCCACCTCCTCCCACCTATTTGGGACTTTATCAGACTTGGGCTATTCCAAGCTTTCTAATCTGAGTTTTATGGTAAGGCCAGCGTCTAAAACCTCAAGCTGCAAAGCCAAACAGGCGAGGGTCTGCTACTTACTAATAATGTGGCCCACCAGCCACTCCTCAGAAGGAAGGTTGGGCATTCTGCTTCCATAGAGACACTGCCTCAGAAACCCAAGGAGGGGTCGCTATGTGTCCAACTGACTCAATGGCAGTAAATTTGGTTTTTGGTTTTGGTTTTGGTTTAGATGACTTTTCTGTGCCTCTGATAACTCCACCCATAAGGAGCCCTGGCGGTGAAGTGGTTAACCACTTAGCTGCTAACTGAAAGGTCACTCTGCTTCTATAAAGATTACAGCCTAGAAAACCCTATGGGGCTGTTCTACTCTGTTCTGTAATGGTTACCATGAGTCAGAATTGACTTGACAGCAATGGTTAAGAGACACCTTGAAGAGCTTTGGTGAGAATGCAATGTATGGGGCATGGTAGGTGCAGTATTTCACCAAAGCTAAGTGCGTGGTACACAGAGTATCCTCCTCAGCCATTCGAGAGGCCTTAGGCATGTTCTTTCACCTCTCTGAGCCTCAGTGTCCTCATCTGTAAAATAGGATTGTTGGGAGGAATGACTGCTCATAAAGCCTTACAACATAGTTAATGCTCAATTAACATTAGCTGTTATAATGCCTGTCTCTTAATGAATACTCAGTATTATTATTAGCATTTTCTTCCACCTTTTCCCTCTTTAGCAGCTAACATCTCCTTCACCTGCAAAAATGTAAATGCCGTCAGGAATCTTGTTTGAATCACAAACGTGTCTCACGTGCCTAGAATAATATCTGGCAAACGTCGTAGGTCCTCAACAAATATTTGTTGAATGAGCTTTCTTAAGACCCGCCTCTCCTAGCTCATCTACTTGTTTCTTGAATGACCTAACTATCAGCAAAAGCCACTCAGATTTCTCCTCCAAAGACTCCATGGAACTCTTTCTCTCCAGATACAAATTCAAGAAGCTGAGGCATTGTTTGACTGGAGGGGAGCCGCTCAACTCGGAGCTGCTGGAGCA